ACATGCAGTATCACTGATGTAAAGGTCACTAGCTGAAAAATAACAGTTTGACAAAGAATTTGGAATTCTATAACAAAGACGCCAGCATAACTGGCTATCTGTAACCCTTCCAAACAGAGCCTGAAGAAAATCATTTGCATATAAAAACATCTGTCTGCATGTTTGCATTTGTCAGGGTTTGTTTTCAAGCCTTGATTAAAAATGTGTACGTATTAGGACAGAGAGTAGAGACAAGTTTCTGAATCACAAATCTTCTTCACTTTTCTTCTCGTATTTCATGTTTTTGGGAGGATGAGGGACCCTCTCTTGACAGTGCTGAGTGAACCTCTCTGCCTATGCCATCTCGTGGAGATGATTCTCTATCTGCTGCTACTCTTCAGAGGGCAGGGCTGCAAAGGGCACAGTGGCAGCTGCAGGTTGGTTCTGCCCATAGCTGTCATAGAATCATAGAATAATTATGGTTGAAAGAGACCTCTAAGAACGTCGAGTCCAACGGTAAACCCATCACCACCATGCCTGTTAAACCATGTCCCTAAGTGCCTCATCTACATGTTTCTTGAACACTGTTAGGGATGGTGACTCCATAAATTCCTTGGGCAGCCTGTTTTACTCATGGAGTAAGTGATCAGTGGCCACAAGCACCAGCACCCAGTAAAGACCTGCACACTTGGCACAAGCTTCACTTGCAAGAAATTCGAGAAGGAAACAACGGATGGCTGAGTCATTTTCCCCATCACGGCTGTATCTACCAGCATACAGGCATGAAAATGTTCACGTTAGGGACTCAGAATGATTTGCTGACATATTTAAACACCACCTTGTGCAGTCTGTCAGTTTAGTGGCATATTACAGCTACCGGAAAACAATTAGGATCCTATCTGAGTACAGTTGCTGATGGAAACTTTATGAAGAGGGAATGAGAAAACTGAAAAACTGCAAACCCTGTTAAAAATCTTTCTGGGCCTCTTTCCTTTTTTCCCCCAGCTGATCTGGTGCCAAGAAGGTCCATGATTAGATTTCTCTTTCTGTCTTCTGCTGATTTCAGAAAGTCCTAAGTTCCCAAATCCCAGCTGGAAAATTCTGTTCAAGAGTCATTACTAGAGCCTTGAGCATAATAAGGATACAGGATTACCCAGGTCAGCCAACATTATTCAAAAAAAAATAGTTGAAATCTACATTCAACCACAACAATTACTCTTTTCTAAACCTACTGTTCACAGCTGCCTTGATTCTTTTCCATTTTCAGCAATTCTGGTAGCAAATCTGTTAATAACAACTAGGGCTAATTCATTTCAATCCTCCCTTTTTGTCTAAATGAGACCATCTCCCCATACAATGGTGCTTTTTTCACTCCATTATACTACAAACAAATCCAAAGAGGGTAGTTAATGTTTTGCCACTTTTGTGAATTGCTGTTTATTGGGATTAATTGTTTTATTCTTATATTCCACAGAGAACAATACTTTGAATTGTATTAAAAGAATTTTTAGAAAAGCGTTGTCTGTAAATTAAATAGAAAAAAACCCACTAATTTGCCATGAAATCAACATATTTGCAGGAGATTCTTGGCTTGTCACTTTATTTATTTATATTGTCACATATTATTCACATGGCAACTCATGTGAAAACGCACTTGGCTGGTAGAAACACTTCTGCTTTGCTGCATTTACTGGCAGAGCCTACAACCTTGTTGTAGCTCCCACGATCAACAGTCCTCTCTCATCAGAGCAAACACAGCTTTTCATTGATTTGATCTTTTTTTGTCTTCCACAATTCTCTCCTTCTGGACCAATTTCATAATTTAATCATCATTAGATTACAATTCTGTGGTATTGTTGGCACGCTGCCTACTGCTCTCAAAAATTTTTGAATGCTGAAGAACACATGCCTCTCAGAAAAAAGCCTGAGGGTTTTTTAAACCATGTCCCTAAGTGCGTACTTCTGCTGAATGAGTTAATGTACTTAACAGATGGAGCTGTTAAGTATTTCTATTTTAATAAGATTAGACTGGATTACGGAAGTTCTTAATTCTTGTCACAGTTGTTTCATTCTTAAAAGGTATCTAGAGCTATTTGTTTATATTTACTATGTGTTACTCTTACTTAAATAATAACTGAGTCAGAACAAGGAGACCCAAAGATGCCTTTATCCATTTCTCTGCACTGACGAAAGCTTCATTTAAAGAATAACCAAAAGAACAGGCCAATAGAGCTGACTCTGTTAAAACGGGATCCATTGAAGGTGAACTTCCAGCAGTGCTAACCCCAGGGGAACTCTCTGAGTTAATAGGGAAGGCTTACAAAGGATCTAAGTGGGCAAGCAGCAGAAACAATACTGCCTAATTTATTTGAGCAATTAACTAATTAACTAATCATCAGCCTTTGAATAGTGAATTCACCCAGAGCACTACTTGGGACGCTGCTGCATTTTGTTAAAAGAAACCAGTTAAATAATTCTGTCAGACAAATGCATTAGAAGAAACCACAGTCTGCCAAAGGAGATGCCACAAGAAGGAAGCAAGTCTAATGGGTGGAATAAGTTATTCATTATAAACTATTTGCTCAGCTATAATCAGCCACCAAGTGGCTGAACATATGCTGAAATGTGAGGGTGGAAACTGTACAGCCTCCAAATTCCCAAGCCCTGCATGGACAGATGAAGCAGCTGGAAGCACAGCACCATCATCGAGATAATCACAGATCCCAAGTGCTCAGTGGAGCCCAGCCTTGAACAGATGTCCAGAAGCAAAAAAAAAAAGAAGAAAAAAATCCCATTAAACATATCTATGGATTTCTTTTGTTATTGTCAAAGTTGAATGACCTTATTAAAAAATAAATACAATAATAAATAAAATAAACTACATTTCACAATGCAAACCTAAGATAAGATCTTATTCCCTGCTCCTGTCAAGGTCCCTTGACAACACAAACAAGGGCCATTCAGGATGGAGCAGAGACCCTAAAGCCCTAGATTTGGCTGGAGGGCAGAGGAGGCTGTGCCAAAAGGCTGCCAATATGTTCCAGATTAGGCTGCTCATGTGTTCAGCACAGAGGACAGGCAGGGAGGTTGTGCTGAGGCAGACACAGCAGGAGATCCTGGGCATGCCCTCATCCTAACTACAGCACTGCAAAGTGCAGCACAGTATCTCACAAAAAAATTCTGCAACTGCAGAAAAAAAAAAAAAAAGAAAAAAAAAAAGTCTTTCATCCTTATTCACCCATTCACTGCTCCTCCCTTTCTATCTTAATATTGTTTGTTTTTTTTTACATTGCTATCAATCCAGAGCAACTTCACTAAGCCGATATCTATTTGATAAATGGCAGCATGAGTGAGGACTTCTAATACTACTTCCCCAAACAGAATTTTATACATAAAAAAAGTGAAATGAAGATCTTTCAACCAAACAATCCAACTCCCGAGTTTATGTTCTGGTTTCTTTTCCTGGTTTATTAAGCCTCAGGCCACTTTATCTTTTTTTGCTTTGTTTACTTTTTCAGGTTTGTTTCATAAGATGCAAGAGTAAATGGTGAGAAAGGCATAAAGGAATCTCAGTTATCAAAGAAAACTGTGCAAATAAAGAGAAAAAATATAGTGAAAAATATAACAGCTGTCATAGTAACTATCAGGGGAATTACTGCAATAGCTGAGCAATGGATGGGTCATGAAAGGTGCCCTCCTGCTTTGCATCTGGCCAGCAAACACCATCCTGAGGGCATAACAGAACAGGGAACTGGAAATGGGTCATGTGACATACGATTATGTCAATATTAGCAAACAGTGCCAGGTAATGTGCCTGTGTGCCAGATCTGCACCGTTTGTGCTGGTATTATAAGAATAACCCTGAAAGAGCTGGCTGGTGGCAACCTGCAGTCTCCAAAAAATGGTCAGGAGTTAGCATTAAACAGACACCCTTCCCAAAGGGGGAATGCATCTCGCCACCCTTTTTGGGCAAGAAAGTAAGTTTAATAGTATGAATGTGGACAGTTCTGTGACAGTCCAGAACCAGAGAATGGTCAGAGGCACATTTAATTTACTAGTACAGATAGAGCCTCAAAGGGTTGACAGATCTTTTCCTTCAAATCCTAGCTGCATATTGGAGAGATCCTGCATATCTCAGACAAGTATGCTACAAAACTTGTCAGCGTTGTGCTACACTGCACTTTAGCCTCTTGAATACACACACTGAGGACTTGCCACCCTGGATCTATCTGACAGACATCTGCTCCTCTTACTGCTTTCTTCTCACTAGCCTTATCTGGCCCATCTCTTTGCTGCCATCCCCACCATTGCTTGGTCTGTTGGGGCTGGAGATGAAAAGCAGTGGTTGTGGCAGAGGACAGGTTGCACATGCCCAGTGATAGGGCTGTGGGGATGACCCATGTAGCTTTCTGCTTTTGGTGCTTCCCAGGCCTGACAGTTTCTCACTGCTTTCAAAACAGCCTGAGCCTGCACAGCACAGTGGGGTATTACCACCCTGATGCGTGTTGATTCTGGGCACACGTCATTGGAGTGTTTGTGGATACAGCCCAGTTTACACAAGTCCTTCCTTGGAAATCTGTGGAGATGTAGACCACTGGTTGTGTTCAACAACAAAACATATTCTTTATTGAAAAGTTAGACAAATCCCTGTATTTTCGCAATGCTGAGAGCAGCCTGCTACTGTTACATTGACAGCATCAACACTGGGGCAGCTGACAACAGATGGCGATTGCAGTGATGAGACTGCTAATGAGCAGGGGAAGCAGCTTGTCTGTATGCTGAAACCACTGGAGAAAGTTTGATTTTTAGATACATCGACTAAGTGGTCACTCAGCTGTCTGAGTCCTGTGCTTTGTGCAGTGAAAAGCTGCATGTGTTAACTAAATACCGCCAGGGTATGGGCATGAGTCTTTTCACTGCCCAAACACTACTGTTAGGCTGTTGCACTGTTATACTTTAGTTAGGTTCTGATCTTATTTTGGTCTGTGCAAATTAGCAGTCTCCCAGATTAATATCCCTTGCTGTGCCACAGGTCTTTGTGGGTGTTTAAGGTAAAAAATTTTGGTGCTTTCATAAGCTGATTGGCCAAACTAGTGGAAGAAAAATCAACCTAGGTTTATTAAATTTAAAATGTCACCTGTGACTCAGGGACACTTTGCTTTTCCAGATGGTTAGGGACAAGTGAATATTCTGGGAAATATCACAGTTGCACCCTTGACCATGGTTGGAGATAGGCTATGGTGCTAGACAGATCTTTGATTTTACCAGTATGGCTGTATTACATTCTTCCCTGCCCACTCCACTATGGTGCAGTTAAATGTGTCCCTGATGTTTTTCCTCGTGTGTTAGTTATGCACTTTCCCTCACTCAGCTCTGTTTACCCAGGAGGGACAAGAGGGTCTTCTTCTGCCCTCCTTAGATAAGCTCAGGATGCAGGAGATGGCCTTTCTCCCTTTGCAGGAGGAAGGAGAAGCCACCCCTGCACTCCCTGTAAAGCTGATGGATCTGAACAGCACTGTTAGGCAGCCCCTGTTCACCTGTAAAGCTGATGGATCTGAACAGCACCGAGTGTTAGGCAGCCCCTGTTCAATCCCTGTATCAGATGAGATGGGCTGTTCTTCTCCAGGAGAAATCCAGGTAAATTCAGACTCAAACTTCTAACCAAGACAAGCTTTGATCTTTCTCCCACTGGAAAAAAAAATGACTGTGGTTCACCTACACATTTTAGAAATCTTATTTCGTAACTCATAACTCAGTCACCTGCTGCATTAAAAGCACTTGTTCCTGGGCTCAGCAAAGACAGACTGTGGCAAGGTGTGTTTATACCTACAACGAGCCATTACAGCCAGCTCTTATTTCTCAGTCTCCAGGGAAATGAAATTCTGAGACTGGTCAGCGTACTTCTATTTATAAAACATTTTCTTGCATTTATATTTACTTCTTTTTATTATTTTTAATAATACACGTGTTAAAATGCTCAACTGAAAAATGCTGGGATTTTCCTAATCTTTCACACACCTCTATGAGCCACAGTCATGACCAGCAGTTTGAGAAGCAATGAATTACAGAAAGTATTTTCCTGGACCTTTTAATCAGATAATACTTCACAGCTGACATCTAAAATAAAACTTCCTTCCTATTCCTTCCTAGTCCTACCCCTCCTTTCCCCTTTGTACAAGGGCTGTCAGGAGGGGGAGAAGAAAATTTTCTGATACAAGAAGGATTACTTGACTGCCTAGGGTGTTTGTGCCGGACATTTCCCCATATTCTTTCCTTTCTTTCCTTCTTTTTCCCATAGGAAGGTATTCCATTGTTGCGCTAACATTGTGCCAAGGTTGCACTATTTTTACACGCTTTATTTTGGTGTTTCAGGTCTCTGCAGAGTAAAGAAGAGGTATCTGATTAACAGTAAGATTTTTGTTCTCCCTTTTTCGGACAGGTTCTCCCTCCTGCTCTACGCTGCGCATTCTGGTATTTGACAGAACACGAGGGAAAAGCTCATTATGATAAATGAAGCTGCTGTTTTAAAACAACTAATATTCAAGTAACTAAAACCAAATCCACTCCCTTCTAGCACACAGTAAGCTGATATCAAAGTGCAAAATTCTTCAGGTAGGCTGCAAGATGGAGACAACAGTGTCAAGGAGAATAAATCCAGTATATCTCCTAGCTGGACTGGCTAGAGCAGTGAATGCACATTTAGAGAGATCCAGGCCTGTCACTCAAAATCTACATTAATATGCTTAAAGGGTGTTCCATAAAAAGTATTTTAATGTATACTTTTTCTTCTTATCAATATGTCTCAAAGACAACCTGAAACGATCTCTTCTTTGCCTCTTTCTATCTTTCAATCTTGGAAATGTCAGGAATGTAATATCCTGTTTTCTTTGGTTTTGCTGGGGGCCTTGTGGGTACTTCAGAGAATGCTTAAATGGCAAAACTTTAATAAAGAGCTCCTTTGTCAAAAAACCCCGTTAGTCATGGACAATGAAAGACTATTAATAGCATCATCATCAACAAAAAGCAAACAAAAGGTCAAGTAGTGTTTAAAACCCTTTCTTTTCTAAAATGCTAAAGATCTTCTCACTTCAGGTTTGTGACTACCTCACTTTATTACTCTAGTCAGCTTTTCTGTTCACTACTGCCTTAATTTTTACTGTGAACACACCTCCACAGAAACTCTCTTGCTAGCTTTTAAAAAGAAATCTCTCAATTTCTTATGATCCATCAGGAAAAGATAGAATAGATCCCACTTTTTGTCCTTTTGAAAATCACTGTGTTCACTTTTGAAACAATACAACTCTCAAGCCCATCAGCCTTGAAAAAACCTTGAAAATAGCAAAGGTTATTTCATAGTGAGTTATGAAATACAGACTAACAGCCTTCTGTTGTGAAAAGATATGATATTCTGTTGCACACTCTTGTTAGGCTGCTAAATTTTGACAAAGAGAAACAGAACAGATTTGTCCCTAGAGGACAGAGAGTAAATAAAATTACATTTAAAATATCTTAAATGCTCAGGCAGCCTGTAATGCTAGGAACAGTCCTCATAAAACAAAACAAACAAACAAACAAAAAAATCACCAAACCACCTCCTTCACAATAAAGCGGGAAAATTCATTCAAGAATTGTTACAAAATTGATAAATTTGAAGAGATTTCACATAAACTAAAAGGAAGAATCAAAGATAATTTGAAAACAAAGAGTCCATACAGCCAAATGAAAACAGAAACAAACATAGAGAGGCCCAAATAAAATCTCTGCCTCCAAGCAATGTCTTTGTGCTCTCTGTACATTTTTTGTAAAGACATCAAGGCCATTAAGACCCTACATGTAGACCAGTGTGCTTCAGTGCTTCAGAAAGCAAAGTTTTAAGAAAACAATTTTGCAACAAAACAAAGTCAATCCCTTCTTCTACAACACAACATGTTTTTAATTAAGAAAGAATGTCAGGATGAAGGAGACATTACAAGTTCAACAAGCGGACAGCATTCAATTTTTGAAAGGAGGCGAAAGGGTTAAGCTTTTTATTGCAAACTTCACATGTTTTATGTTAATGAAACTATTTAAGACCTTTCTTGCACTTCTAATCATGTCTTTTCACAGGAAAGGGAGTATTTGCTTTGTCTGATTTTAACTCTCAGGAAGGTAAGCTAGAACTATCCAAAAACATGTCTACTTTTTAAATTGACCTCTACCTCCCAAAGGGGGAAGTTTAGGCATGATGCATTTTCCAGAGAATTGAAATAATGGAATTCTCTTTCTTATGGAAAAGTCTTACCTGGGTAATCATTCTTGTCTACATCTGAGTCTCCTCTTAGGGTGAAGCCAAATCCCGAAGGCATGGACTGTGAGGCCCAGGCTCCCTGGAGAACCTGGGAAGGGTTGGTATTTAACCCATCACTGTATCCATTGTAAATGAACACTTTACCTCTTCTCTCTTCTCCTGCAAATGGTGCACCGACAGCAATGTCTGTAGCATGATAAACGAACAAAAAGAATTGACACAATTAGACTAAAGCAGGAAGTCTTTGCAAGAAAACAGACCAAAGTGGCTTCTGCTATATATACCCCAGAATTATGACTTTCTTCCCTTCTTTAAGGTTTCTATTTTTAAGCCAAATGCACAAAAATATTAGTCTCTTTTATATGTCAAATTTTCATGACAATGGCTCATGTCTACACTGGATTTCTCTGCCACATTTCCAAACAATTTAATGAATTTTAATAAACCAATACTTAATGAATGGCTGTTCCTACTTCTATCTATTTAAATCAATACAAACTTTTCCTCATTTCCCCCAGCACATTTTGCTAGTCCCAGCCTGGGCCTCCTGCCTTCACTAGGACACTGAAGATCTATGCCTGGCATTATCATTCATGAAATTGAGGACCTTGGCTCTAGATCCTTCTCAGCTTTTTCCAAAACAGTGAAAGCAAAAAGCAAGAACGTCTCTTTCTTTCCTTAGCAGAATGCCCGAGAGCTGGGAGACCAGTATTCCTCATCCGAAGAAGTTAATGGTATCCAGTATTCCTCACAGCTGGAAAACAAGTTGGATGGACACACAGTGGGATTCCCTGACAGCCCAGAGAGGGTACCCTCAGCAACCACATCCCACGGGCCTCCCTTCATAGGAAGACATTCAGACTTTTGTGCACCCTGGGCCCCAATACAGTCCTGTGGATCCTTAAAGGACTTAGCCCATCAAAGGAGCCATAAACAGGGCACTTTGCCTTAGAGTCTAATGGTAGAGCACTGTGAAAAAGAGCCCTCAAGCTAAGGAGGAGTTATGTCCATTTCTTTTTTCCTCAGTGAGCCAGGTATCTTTAAGGTCACCGTGCAAGATAATTCCTCCACAAAACAACTTCTTAGCATTTTAGAATCAGAGATACCTGATTTCTCATCTCGGAAATAAGAAATCAAGAAATGCATGCAGGAAAGACTGGCCATGTTCAGGAGCCTAGCTGTAGGTGCATCCAGTTATGCAAGTTAGATGGTTATGCAAGTTAGATAGTTCTCCCTAAATTTCAGCTTAATTGCATGAATGCTTTGTTGGGTGTGTGCCATAGACATTTGAAAAAAAAAGATCCCATTATGCACCATTTAGTCATTCTTAATTTTAATCTTATACATAGAAATATAATATTCTGTGTATATTACCATTGTATCCATCCTGATTGAGATCTCCAAGGTGTGTGATTGCACTGCCAAATCTCCCAAACACTTCCGTGCCTGTCAGAATTTGTGCATCTCGGAAGAGCAAAGCACTCTCTTGAAGGTATAGATAAACTTGCCCAACTTCTTTAGGCTTGCTCTCAAATTCTCTTTCCATGAAGAGAGGGGCTCCAACTAAGATATCATCTAAACTGGAACAGTCAAACAAAAAACCAGTGTCACTGAGAAAACGAGTGTAATTAATACACCATTCCTGTACTCGTTAAACAGGAGAGAGTAAACAGAGAACACATCATCGAATCATGGAGGAATTGGGGTTGGAAGGCATCTCTGCATATCATCTAGTCCAAGTCCTC